AAAAAAAAAAAAAAAAACAAGAGATTGTAACTTAATTAGTAACACTATTGTGTTGGAGCAAGTAACAACAAGAAATAAATACAACAACAATGTTTATGAATAACAAAATTGCCATTTTTATAACCTAACGTGATAATAAAGTGTTCATATCGTTGGTAATATAATGTTATTAAGCAGCTCCGATCCTTTGCAGGACTTAATCAAGTATGACTGAATTTCAGTATTCTATTTAGATACTGTTCAACAGGCATGAACAGGGCGAGGTTTCAGTTGTATGGATGTAAACAGATTCTTCTTTAACACATTTGTGATATTAATTTTTTTTGTAATTGGTGAAATTTTGTGGTGCCATCTATCGGGTTGCTAATATTCACTTAAGAGCACTAATTGTAGTAGACGTTTGCAATTTATTCGTTGCGCTGCTGAAATCAGTTAACTCATACCAAGTATAGTTTTTATGTCTGACTGAAATTGAATTGAAGAAGTCACACGATAGGGTGTCGCTTTGTCTGAAACCTCCTTTGGTATCGAACGGCTCGGAGAAGTCCTTCCCGTTCCTGACGCAGCTTTTGTTATTGCTCAACGTCACTTTGTACAGGCGTATTAGTATTGTAGAGATACCAAATTTAGACATCACTGTAGAAAAGTAGCTGCTATTCATGCTGTCAAAAGCAGCTTTGTAGTCGCCAAAGAGGTGGTATGTGCCGATTCTCTTCTCGCGGGTCTTTTTCAAGATTTGACGCTTGTTGAATGTCTGGTCAGTTATTGATTTTCTAGGTCTAAAGCCACACTGATATTGTCCATTCAGTTTGTTAACGGTGCACTTTAATATTTAACACAGTACCCTTGATAGAACCTTAGACGCGATGTTGAGGTTGCTTATCCCATGCTAGTTGGCTCAGATTGTGGGGTCTCCCTTTTTGTGGATTGGGCAGAGCACACTTAAGTTCCAATCGCCGGGTATGCTCTAGTTCGACCATATCAGTTCTTCGCCGCTGTATTTGAATAGCTCGGTCGGCAATCCATCGGCCGCCATCACTTTGTTGTTCTTCAGACGAGAAATTGCTATTTGTACTTTTTCATGGTTGGTCAATGGAAGGGTTGCTCCATCGTCATCGATTAATGAATTGGGTTCACCATCTGCAGGTCTTCACTGCCATTCAGAGGGCTAGAGTAGTTTTCCCTCTATAATTTTACCATGCTCTGGGCATCAGTCACTAGATCACTACTGGGGGTTCTAAAAGAGTGTGTATTCCGGTCTTGAAACCTTCTTTTAGTCGCCACATATTTTCGTAAAATTTTTCAGCATTACCCCTGTCGGCCAGTTTGTCAAGCGCTTCGTATTCACGCTTTTCGCCCTCTCTCTTTTTTGTCTGCAAATGCAGCTCTCTTCTTCGATCCGAACACAGCACAAGGTAGCTTGTTGAATAAAGAAGAAGTTTTGTCATGCTTTTTCCGATTTCCGGAGTCTACAATATATTATCGGAAGTAAATATACATATATATTACTATCAACTAATCAATTAAATGGACACATTTCTGCTTCTACCTTTCAGCATTCTTTTAAGAATCATAAACTCCATATGAGCTACAAAAATATCGAAAATACTTATCAGAAACACGAATAGTAATATAAAGAAAATTTAAAAGGAAAATAGCAAGCGTTTACATCAATTATTCCCAATCATTCCTCTGTTAGACGGTACAAGTTCGTCGCCTCATTTCCTACATACGCCATATACATGTATGCATATATGTACGCGAGTATATAAATACTCTAAAAAATTGTCATAACAATTAAGCGAGACAAATGCAATGGAAAAACTTTAATTAATTTATAATAGTGGTTTCATTATGTCCTTTAGAAAACAGTTATTTATCGAAAGCGATTGCCTGAAAAATAGCGACCAACAGTAAACAACCAATTAGTTAAACAATGTTTGCATAAATAATTGACAGTGGAATGCATCATAGCATGACACAATGCAAATTAATTGACTTACCATATATGTATGTATATTATGATGTACCGTTATTTAGATGGGAAAACGATTTCATAACATCTACACAAATAGCAATAAATTATATATGTTTAAATTAAATTCTGAAAAGCGCAAAGCACTTTATATTGGAAATGGCAAGTTGAAAGTCTTGTCATAGATTTACAATTTAAGAATACTATGTGATATGGGACGCTGTCATTATGCGTATGTGGCGGCAACGGACTGTTTGGGATCGCTATTCTTCGTAAGCGTGTTTGGTTGTTGTGCTTAGCGTAATTTAACATATTTTACGACACACCTACAATTTAGTAATAATAATTTATATTATGCACAAACATTTGTAAAACTTTTAATTGCACGAAGCCATCATTAATGCTCATCTTTCGAATGCACATTTACAGATTGGATCGAAAGTCATCACGTGGCATGATCTATGAGAATGAGGAACTAAGGCTGCGTACCATCAATATAAATGCTGAGGTCGAAAGAGGTAAATACCAACGAGTTATGCTTATTTATTTGACATAAACCAATTTATTGCAGCACAAATGCTTCTCGTAAAAACTAAAAATCGCTTTTGACAGAACACTATTTCCGAACTGACATGTGGAAGCCACATGCGCTGAAATGTGATTTTGCGATTTCTTTTCTTTTTTTTTTTAATTTACAGACGTAAATTTAATAAGTAAACGAAATGAGATGAAAAAGTATTCTGTATAAAACAGACACAAAAATAATATTGAAAAGGCTGCAAAGAAAGTTAAAGTAATTATCAAATATATCTGTCTGTTTAGAAGCAAACCAGAAGCTGACAACGCGTCAAAAACTGTCTGAGAATATTAGGAAAATCAAGTATAATATGTATTATTGAAAAAGCTGTTCACATTGAAGATAAAGCTGTCAGCACTTGTTCTTTCGAGTCTCTTATAGTGTCCATTCAAAATTAATTTATTAATAGCGGACCAGCTGTTGACGTTTCTACTTATACTTTAGTCAAGCAAGCCTGCAGGAAATGCTGAATATAGTTCCCTTCTACACTTTCTAAAATACCATTTTTAGTTTGCTTTTTGTGTTTCTAGAAGCGAATTCAACCAGACTAGGTACGGTTGTATTTTAAGCTTGATTTTTGCGATCCGTATTATTAAGTGTCACTAAGTGACTGTTTTAGAATCGATATAAAACCTCTTGCATTCACAAACTATTCAACTGAGTCAATCGCAAATTCATTATGGGGATTAATTTATATTCCAACTAAATTGCATTGTTTCTAATAATGTCAGTCTGCTATTTTTTCAAGCAACTTTGGTATATTGAGAGATGTTTAGCCTTCCCGCATGGGTCTCTATGAATCAGTTAACTAGTTAGTTAGGGCTTGTCCGGAAAGTATTAGGACTGATTTGATTTAAAAAAAATTTATTAAACTAATCGTTACAATTTTTTAAAAACTTTCAAAAGAAGCTCCTTCTTCGTCGATCCAACGCTGACAACACAATTTCCACACACTGAAGGCATTCTCCGGAAAAGCCTTGGGAGCCGAGGTGCATGCTGCCTGAATGCCCTCTGTCGTCTGAAAATGCCTTTCATCGGCCTTTTCAAGCATGGAAACAAAAAAGTCCGGGGCCACATCTGGGGTGTAGGGCGTCTGCGGGAGCGTTGGGACACAGGTGTTGGTTAGGTAGCTGTTCAAAAGAAAGGCGGTATAAGCCAAACGCCTTCGATGCCTTGTTAGACCCGATAGACTCTTCGTTTGAGTCTCTGGAGAGCTTCAACGTAAAAAAAAAAAACATGACTTCTTGCTGAAGCAACGTTTGGGTAAGCCTGCCTGATCGTATGATGCTTCAACATATAAAATGACTGTGATACCGAGTATGCATCTCCTCCTTTTCACTAGTTTAAATAACCGGAAATAAAATAAATATTAATTGAAGAGTTTTTAAAAGTTCGATCACTCAAAAGACAATTGACACATATTTTTAGCGAATATTCGGTTTGGCGTTAAACGCACTTCTTTCCTTCTGGGTATCTCCTCGAGTTCTTCTAAGCAGTTTACACCCTCCTGATCCAGACAAAAGCAGCCAGATGTGCGAATGTCGAACCATACGCACCTGGAAAAGAGCGAGCATGAAAGTAAAAAAATAAAAACAAAAATAATAAAAAAAATTCCTTAAACTAACACGCTCGCATTTTTTAGTCTGAATAACAAGCTTATTTATTTACAATGCTTTAAACGCATATAAGAGTATGTATATGTATATGTATGTGAAAGTGTTTTTATCTACCCACACCAGCAGGCCCGAAACGAAATCATTAATCGTGCTACGTGTTTTGGCAGATCGCAAGACAGCTAAAAAGGAAAAAAAATGCATAAATGTAAACAAACCACAGAATGATGTATAAAAAATTAATCTTATTTTTCAACTCAACTTTTTTCGCACACCAATTTATTTGCTACCATTTGCACAAGTTTTAATGTTGTGATTCAGTCGAAAATAAAATGAAATTGTACTGTTTCAGCAAAGCTCTTGTAGAGAAACTACTCAATTTAGGCGCTCGGCTGAGTAGATCGATACCGCTCTGAGCTCTCTAAAGATCGCCTACATGCTCAGTATTGAGAAAAGTATTATTTCTAGGGTAGCCTTTCAGCTCCTGCGCTCCTGCAAATGGCACGTTCTCTCACAAGAACGGTAACTACATATTTGCTCAACATTTTAATTACTTTTTTTCGTGTGTGCTCTCAGACAGATTTTCATTGTGTTTATCTTTTGCGTATTGTCAGTGTCATAATTGCCGTCGACGTTTTTGAAAAATTTTAATTTCGCCAGTCCACAAATGCTCACGATCACATATACAAATATATACTATGTGTCTCGTGAGTAGGGAATTGTACGCGGTTTTGTTTTCAAACTAGTTCGTTTGTAATATAAAAGGGGTTATTACCCTCTGAAGACATAAATGAATTATTAACACTAAGTTATCTATATCATTCATAGACACCATGTAAGCCAAATATCGGTTAAATTACTGGTTAATTACTTGGTTAATGACTGTATAAAGCGTTACCAGAAATTTCTGTAAAGTTTCCAAAATAGCGAATCAATAACGCATCGTGTTTACTTTAGCCTAAAATTCAATTTAGACAAGGGAAGATAATTTTTGAAAACAAAAAGAAAATCATAATACGATGAAAACCATCAGAAACGATAGATGACAACATTGAAGCAAAAGTAATTTACTGGTGATCTGAGTTTGTTAAAAGGAAGAGATGTAGTGTGGTTTGTTTCGATTTGCGGCAAAACTACGAGTTTTATAGTCAAAAATATATATGGTAATATTGTAGGTAATGAAAAACTTATAGCTTTTGTATATAAACTCTGTCACATAACCCCAAAATGTATGTGAAAATCTCAAATACCGAGTTTTTGGTTTTATTTTTTTAGCTTGTAAGCAGCCTTTTTTCATGAAATTAACATAAAATTACCTGCTTATGATCCGGAAAAACACTTCTTAACTAGTGACTTTTGCAACTAGTGCTTTCATTTCCCACCGTGTGTATACCAATACACACATACATAAATATATTTTCGCATTCGTCTGTGTATCTGTAATGCATACGAATACAAGTGAACGCCAAATATTAAAGCATATGAATTTTTGTGATTTCATTGAATTTTCTGAAATTTTGGGCAAATCTGCAAAATGTCCAACCAGTCAGCGTTGACTTTTTAAATATGTTCGAACGAACGAACAAGCCAACGCAAGCGGCACGTGTGTTTTATTCTTAAATATACATATACGTTGATACATACTAATATTCTATTAATTATAGCCAATTTAACGGTATTTCAATAAGCGGGAACCGATTGACAGTTGACTGCATTTGCAAAAAAATTTTAGTAATTTTAAAATTGCTTTGTGTTATTTTTTTTTGCCATCATTCGCATTATGAGTTTAGTGTTGTTGTGTTGTGCAATTTTCACATAATTAACGGAGAAGTATACAAGTGTGTGTGTGTGTACGCCTGTGCAATTTTGTTTTGCGAATTCCTTCGACAAATGATTTTGAAAAGAAGACGCTATCTACTTTAATGTTGTGGTGCCTCAGCTGTTTGTTATTGTTGTTGCTGTCAGTTAAAAATAATGGATTGCAAAGCAAAAAATCCTTCCAATAAAACATTGAGTATTTGCTAGTGTCATTTAAATCATAATATTATGTTTGTGTGTGTTCTAATGTGCATCTAGCTAATTGTATTTATTTTTATCTGAACTTGTCAGCTCTAGTCATGCACTAATTAATGTCGCATAATATACCGCATTTACTGTGAAGGTCGTCAAATTGTCGTCAGTTGTAAAAATATTTGAGCATATTATGTCAGCACTTAATAAACTGCAATAAACAATAGTTGCGGTATTCACGAAAACTATTTTGTTTTTAATGCTGATATAAAAGAAAATAATAATAATTTTAATAATAAAAAAAATAATGATAATAATAATAATAATAATAATAAAAATAATAATAGTAATAATAATATAATGCAAATAATAGTAATAATAAAAACATTGTGATAGAAAAGAAATGGAATCGTACAGCCTTTATAAAAAAATCTGATAAATCATTAACATATGTAGAGATCATTTTATGGGCAAATGGGACAAATTTGACGAAATCCGACTTTTATTGTAGTTGTATGCTATATTCAGTATACATATTTACTAAGTCAATTCATCGAAGTCAAGTTTCGGTCTTATTTTTGCCTAAAAGGCACCCTAGTATCCTCCATACTTCATTATAAGAGATTTCAGGGAAATTTAGTCTTAAAAAATAACGAAATTGTACCACAAAAAATCACTTCAGTATTCCATTTCTCAACTGAATATATCACAAAATTGTGTCATAATTTATTTCAATTTTTCCATTGGTTTAGTCAAAATGTAAAAAAGAAAAAACGGACCGAGTTGGTCCCGATATGGTTAATTGCTGTATTTTTCATGACTTGGCAATCAACCTACCATTTTTATTAGACAAACATTTTAAGGATAAAAATAATCTGTTAAAAAATTAAGGTCCTTAAATAATTATTCAACTAAGTTATATTATGATCAAGAAATAGTAAGACTTTTTTCATAATTTTTGTATAAAATTTTACCTTCATTTCTCCTCCAAAATCCATGTCGGTTTCCTCAAAGTATTTCCCACTGGCCCCAAAACACTTGTGCCAAAAGGAAAACTGTCAACTTTGATTTTCGACGTACTCTGACGCGGTTTTTCGACTCTGGCTCACCTTTGTACGATATTCGGCTGACTGAACGTCTATTTCCGGCTCGTAAGTATAGACCTAAGACTCGGCGCCAGTAATAATTTGTTTCACGATGTTGCGGTGGTCGGAAAGAATTATTTCACAGACGTAAACGCGACGCTCTGTATTCGAAAAAATTGGAGTGATTTTGGAACCAATCGTATTTTCACTTTTCTTAAGCCCAAATGATCTTGCAAAATGGTTTTCACTCATTGTTTCGATACTCCATTGATTGCAGTAAGATCTGTGACTGTAATCGTTGATTTCGAGGCACAAATTCTTTAATTTTATTGACGCGTTGATCATCAGTAGTTGTAGGTGGCCATCCTTCACGTGGATAAACGCGTTCTTGGCGCGGGACAAACAATTATCACCAAAGGTCTTTTCCAACATTATGAATGTTTTTTTGTTGAATAATTTCACTGATCGTAAAAATCGCCAAATGCGAAATTTAAATTGAGAAGTCTTACTATTTTTTGTCCACAGTAGTATTTTTTAAAATGTCTACAGGAAAACTTTCTATCCTTAAAATAAACTAACCACCGTATTTTTATTAGATAATACAAAATTTGTGGCTGCTTATGTGATACAACTTTATTATTATACTGACAAATTATGTAATATATTGCGCTTAGCTTAATCTTTATCTACTTTCAAATTGTAGAAAAACGCGTAAACATGACAAAAAATTAGGGTTTCTATTAAGCGGCAGTGCGTATACGTAACGAATTAATATTTTATAACTTTTTCTCGATAATGACGCTGAAACACGCTTATATTCGCTATAGAGCAAGCACGAGGTGTGTCAATTACAATGAGACAGCTAAAATCATCTGGTCACACATCTATCTATTAATTAGGGGGAAAATTTTGTAAACTTAGCAAAAGGACCAATTTAAAAAAAAAAAGATGAAATAGTCAAAAGTTAAAACTAAGCAATCGAATATATTTTTATGGTATTTTGAAAATTTTAGGTGAGATTAGTGTTGCATTCCGAATAAGATTATGATTTTTTATATTAAGACCTCATATCATTGTTTTCTGGAGCAAAAAAGAAATTTATCAGAATTAAAATTAAAGTTAAGAAAAACAAAATTTCTAGAACTTGTTGACAAGAATAAAATATTTTTATTATTTATAGAATACATTTTTATTCAATTTCTTACCACAATGCTTGCCTCATATCAAAAGATCGCTTCAACGAATTCTATAAAGACTCTGTTATATGATTACAAACCAATCTTGTGCATGAGAGCAGCCGCTCTGTTTTACAGGGTGTTGCTTGTTAAAGAAATTATGAGTCGGAAAGATGTTATAACTCTGTTTTTATAATTTGTAACATGTTTTGAAAATTTTCCGAAATTTTTCTAATTTGTGACTTGTTTGAAATTTTTCGCCAGACTGTCTAACTTTCTGTAACAAAATTTGTGGTACATTATTTAATGTCGCACAACCTCAGATAATATCAACATTTGCTATAATAAGTGAAATTTTTATATTTCTATCTGAAAATAAATGAAAAAGACATTATTCCCAATCAGACACCACATTAACAGTTAATTTTATATATTATGAAATATATTTTTATGTTTTAAGCAAACAAGACATTTGCAATTATTGCTGGAAGTTAGCACATTCATAAAGTAAACAAATGTTTTACTACATTTATATAATTATAATACAACAATCACAAGTAGCATGAAAAAGCAGCTGGCACTGAAGGCATCTATTTTAAATTCTCACACATACACACATACGGTTGTACGCAAGAATATATAAATATATTACTTAACATGCTGACGTTTATTTTTATAAGTACACAAATTGGGGTTTTCCTGTGCATCACAAAGCTGCCTTCAAAAATATTATTAACGGCATTAATGGCCATCATAAAAGTTAATATACTCGCTCATTCGTACATTTCTCATAACGAATTAACAAGTGAAAATTATTTTTGCTTAATTTGTAACTAAATTAATTGTAATGTCATTAATTTTTCACACTTTCAGGGCAATCGGACATCAAACGTTTGCGTAGAGAGAATGAGCAGCTGCGCCGCGAGATTTGGACGTTACGCGATGAGTGCGATCGCTTGAACAAGCGCTTCAAGGCGAAGCTTTTGGATCACGATCATGCTTGCAACGCGCGGCATAGCGTTTGTAGTGGCGGCGGGCGCGGTAGTGGGCACATCTGTGACAGTAACTGCAACAGTGATGTGAGTCACAAAAAATCAATAAATCAAAAATATTGTTATCATAATTACATACTCTACCTTCATTTCACTCTCTCTCTTCATGCAGGATTCAGATTCCTGTGATACCTGTAAAGGCAACGATGACCAATGCAGTGATGAATGCTGCACGGGCGGCAGCTGTCCCCAGCTGGCGACAAAGCAGCCGATTATTGAGTTCGCGCCTGATACGCCCACCACAAAGACAGCAACGCGCTCAGATATGGGCAATTTTGTGGTTAAATCAGCGGGTGCTAATTCAGAAAGTGTGCCAAATTTACATCAGGCATTCGATCATTTGTCCGTTGTGTCGGAGGAAACGCTGAGTAATGCCGACCAGCATACACATGTGCCGCACAATGAGCTGCTGCATATATACACGTCCGACGGCGGTGGCTCGCAGATGACATTGCCCAGCTTAGTTGGGCCGTTGACACCTTTGACGCCCATCGAACAGGTGGCCAATCAGCTGAATGACCTGCAGGCGGTTGTGCCCCCCCTATCTTATTTCGAGAATGTGTTGCAAGATCATATGGGCTCTAATATAGGTGCGTGAGCATTGAAATTGTCTGACAACAGCGGTACACTAATTACACTGTGCTTAATACTTTTTCAGGTAATACGCCCAATACGAGCTCGCCCACGTCGAAATTAATGCGCCACACCAATGGCTGGGACTACAAGCTGCAATCGCCTTTCGCGCATAGAAAGATTTCAACAGGCGCTTCGCCGCCGGCACTGCAAATTGCCACATCGCTAACGCAGAATTCTACGCAACAACAGCAACAGAGACTAGCGCCACCTCAACTGTTAACCACATTTGTGCCAACAATAGTGGCGCCACCGGCGAGTAATGATTCGACGGTGAACCCCTCAAGTCTCACCGTGTCTGCGCCGAGCGCGCAACAATCGAATGCGACTGCTATAGAGACAGTTACAATTACAACGACGCCAACGAATGCGTTATCAACGCTTAACAGTCCAAGACATTTCTTTGCGCCACTAAAGCCACGGCTGAAAATCAATACAACTTTAGCTAATAAAGCACTGACAGGTGATGCCAATGTGCCTGCGGAGTCTACACCAATATCAACGCCTACGCCCTTAGCTGCAGATGCAGAAAGCAACGGCTGTCATAATTGTGAGCCGCCCGACCTTTATGTACACAACGGCTTGGCCTCACCCTATCAGCACCAGGCGTTGATGGCGGCGGGCGCCGACAACGCAGTGCCACCACCAATACCACAGCGCGGTAGCTCCTCCCAAGTAAGTCCACAACATCGCGCACGCGTGCAACGCCAACAACAACAGCTGTTGGCGCCGCAACAGCAATATTTGCAGCCACATCAGCACACGCATCAGCATCAGCAGCAGCACCAGCGGCTGCCACAACGGCAATATGCAGAACTGCAGTCACCACCTGCACAGCAGCAGTCAGCGTTGATCACCATCACAGTGACCGTGGACGATGCTGATGAGGTTGCCGCCGGTGTTGATGCTGCTGCCGCCTGCGGTGAGGATGCGGCAATTGTCGCCGATATCCCGCTTAACACGCACGCTTCGACCGCGGCATTAATTAACACGCCACAAAAGCTACAAGCGCCGCTTCAGGCTATGCCGAAATTGTCGGCGCTGCAATCGCTCGCCGCATTGCCGACTGTTTTCGTCGCACAGCCAAATGCTGTAATAACAAAATTAAGCGAACCCATTTATGCTACCGCACAAAAACGCTGTAAAAATCTTTTAATTGCACCGGCCGTGACCAAACCGCTAATGGCGGCCGCCATTAACACCAATAAACGCCTAACACCAACAACATCGAATCATAGTAGTGCGACTGCAACGCCAGTACACTCACCGTTACCGCAGTCGACACCAACATCGATGTCAAAAGCAATTCTGGTGGATAGTCAAAGCCAGGTGACCATTAGACCAAACTCCTTTCGAATGCTATGGGTGTTGGTTGTTGTATGTAGTGGGTAGCGCAGTGTTTTCGCGTAGTGTTGGTTTACATTTTAGTGTGTATCTCTTGTTATGCTTCTTGCAGCCATTAACCCCAACTTTTGTTTACTTGTTGTTAGATGTTATAGTTGTAGAAAAAGCTTAAGACAACAAATAAGGAAGTGCTAAGTTCGAGTGTAACCGAATAGTTCATACTCTTGCAACTTACCAGGATCAAAGCAGCAAATATGTATCTTCAGATGTTGGAAAATTTTATTTATAAAATTTTGCGAATTTGCAATTCAATCCTTTTTCGACATACGGGCATACTAACGGGTTTTTCAATAAGGACGATTTTTAGGAATCCAGATGCATTTCAAGCACAAATCGCCCGGTACTGAGGAAATTTCACGTTCGATATTCGTAAGAAGTTCATCAACCGTTGCTGGCTTGTTGGCATAGACCATATGGAAATAATCATACGGTGTCAAATCGCACGACCGAGGCGGGCAATTGACTGGGCCATTTCGTGAGATAACAACTTCACCAAACTTGATTTCAAAAAAATCGATTTTTATATTGGCTGTGTGGCTTGTGGCGCCGTCCTGTTGAAACCACCTATTGTCCAAGTCCATATCATTTTATCTGTGCCAAAAATGTTCGGTTATCTTTGAGCGGTAGCAATTCTTATTTACAGTAACGTGTCGGTCTTGATAATCACGGTAAAAGTACGACCCAACGGCGCTGGCGGCCCATAAACCGCACCAAACCGTAATTTTTCGTGATGCAATGGTGAGTCATGAAGTACAATTGGATTGCTGTCTGATCAGTAATGCAAATTTTGCTTATTGACGAAGCCATTTTGCCAGAAATGAGCCTAATCGCTGAAGATGATTTTTCGATGAAAATCCGAATCATTTTCAAGTTTGTTGCTCAGCTCAATTGACGATCATGCGACGGTTCTGGTAGTCAAGCGGCTTCAGTGCTTGCGTCAATTTCATCTTGTAAGGATGTAGGTCCAGATCGTTTCGCAAAATTCGCCACAACGATATCAAAGAGATGTCCAACTCTTGAAGGAGTGATTAGGGTCTTGCTCAATTGATGCGCTAGCGGCAACAATATTATCGATACTATGGGTACTTCTTTGTCTCACTCGCACGTGAGGATCTTGTATTGTGCCTGCGGGATCAGGATGATTATGATGACTAAAAACTGGCTGTAGCGCTCTTAAGGCCTGACTCGGACTCGGAGTTTCGCTTTAGTAAGTTCTAATATTGTCGACTTATTGTTGGATCGTATATATTACCATAATAAAATGGTAAACCTTACAGAAGAAAAAAGGCAAAAGAGCGAGATAAAATATGTCATCGTTTGCTGTCCTTATCGGTCTACTTTTTCAAAGGATTCTTTCGGAATTTCTGTAACATATCTCAGATTGACCGATATGTTCGATAAAAATTCGTAATAACAACTGGGGTCCACATATTCTGCGTTATAGTTTTTCACATTATGTGAATGGTGGCACACCCATAGTCTAAATTTGATGCTGGTTACTATAAAACCCTCTCCTATGGTCTTGCGTGTAAAATTTTATGTCTCGGAAGTATTTTATATATAACCGTTTATGATGAGTGGGCGAGATTATCACCCAATTTCGTTAATTTTTGCGAATCGGCCGATATGCTTAAAGGACTTGTCCTGAGAAAATTTCGTTGTTGTAGCTTTGGTCGTTTAAAAGATACATATGTGCCTTAAACCTATTAGAGTGCGGTTCCACGCCCATTTTTTTTTCAATTTTTTTGGTTTATATGTAGATGTTCCTTGTTACTGCAATTCCCTATACCAAATTACAATTTTATATCTTAATTTGTGCCTAGTTAGGGTATTGTATTTGAGATGTTTATTTCGACTATTAGGTGAAAAAATTATATATTATATAAAAATTATGTTGTTTCACAAAATTACGTATTTCGATTAATTTTACTTTGTTCGAAAATTGTAAAAATTTATGTATATAGAAAATGCCAAGCATAGACTCTTGACATCTCATCAATTATTTATGTCCATAACCTTAAAAATTGCAAGATTCGATTATAAGATATGAACTTTCTGAGCCAAAAATTGTTAGCCTACTCTACTTTCCAAAATCTCTTGAAATTATTGCACAATTTTATAACTCATGGTACACTTTGTACAGTTTCGCTTGCTTTTCGTATACTCCGGACTTAATTCCAAAGTCTAACTTATTCGAACATTAACAAAGCGTTGGTCTTGGTGTCCTGCATAAAGCATTAAAACAACTCTGGACTTATGTACGATGCAACTCTGTTCACAACTGTAAATGGAAGATACAATGCTTTTGGAGGATTTCCACAATTCAATATGATTCGAAATCTGGCAACTACACTCTAACCGCACTATTCCCGAATATAATGTTAAATTAATGGTCCATGTTTTTGGCAAATATTCATGTGAAATGCCTTTGAAATGCATTTACACGTAGTGTAGAAAACACATATCTAATCCTTTCACGAAGTAATATCTCCACACACATTTAAAAAGTTTTTAGTGCCTTATAACATGCTTATAATAGAGCAAATCTGACTAAACTAATTTAATAACAAAACTAATTGTACCGTGCACTAGACGGAGTCCGTAAACCTGGAAACCATACTCAATGATATCCAAGCCATATCGGAGGATATCTTAGCTATTCAACTGGACAAATGCAGGGAGAATGACAACGCCATCAACAAACCGCTGGAGCAGGAAGACAGAAATAAGAAACCGTACCGCTCAGAAATGAATTTAACACTACAATATGATGGCGCGAATCAAATGACAGTTGCTGCCAATACAGCAGCTACTAGCGCCATTACAACAGCGACTGCCACACAAACATCCTACAGCAGCAATGGCAAAGGCAACCACCGCTGTACGCGTTCATTAGAGCGCGAGCATACAGACAGTCCATCGCCRCATATACCCGACGCTATGGTGCCGTTCCCAGATAAGCGCACATATATTGGCTTTGATCAGCTGAATAATGAGGCGTGCCTGGAGCTGCCACCTACGAGTGTTGCAAATATGCAGCGACCACCGTTGCCGCCTGTCGCTGGCGTAGCTAAGCAGGCGCAGCCACCGACGCCGCCAGCGCGTGGATTTCCGTCACCTTTAAATATACGCTGCGCAGGTGTAGCGCGCGCCACGCCTGTGGCAATACCACAACCGCCTACAGATGAAACAGCAGGAGCGCAGCTTATCAAGCCGATGACGCTCGGTTTTGCGCCCAATAAAAGTCAACTGTATGCCGCGGTGGCGAACGCGGCGGCTAAGCGTGCGCAATATCGCGCTGCAATGACGCATTCATTGGACGCGGAGTTGAATGCGGCAGGTGCAACGGCGTTAAGTGAGACCAGTACTGCTGATGCTGCAAATGAGGTAAGTGTGCGCTGTTGTAATTACAAAGTCAGATATTTCAATAAATTTTACTTGTTTCTTCTGATTTAGGCACTCGCTACAGAAGCGGCGCGTCGGAAAGCGCGTCGCGTTTCAATCGTGTGTGGTGATTCAAGTACGCCGGACTCACCAGATCCGGTGAACAATACGCAATTAGTTCGATCTCAAGCACAAATAAATCTAAGCGGTATACAGGATGGTGGCACAGCAAATGTCAATACTAACAACACCAACACAGCGAGCGCAACGAGTCAACCAGCCAATGATAGCTGCACAGATTTACAGGCCGTGCTGCTCAATCCGGCGCTGCGTAATCTCAAGCAAACCAGTCACAGCACTCCCAACTCACCACATTCCGTGCGGCGCCGTAGCAACAGCAATACGATGAGCCCGAATAACGGCGTTGCAGATCCCACACAACCGCAATCGCTCTCGGCGAATACGTCGCCGAAGCATGCCGCCAACGCGCACCATCGCCACACAAATAGCAGCTGCAGTAATATAGCGATGGCGCATCAACGTAAATCCAGCCAAGACTCGACACGCACCAATGCCGGTGAGGGCGCTACTGTCGAAGCGTTAACAGGGCGCTCGCGCTGTTCTCGTCGCCACTCTGATGGCACCGTAGCGAGTAATGTGCAGCGCGTCAGCGGCACTTCCGGCCATCACCACCATCATCATCATCATCACCCGCACACATCGTCCTTCCTGAGCAATAATCTGCCACACAGTCACCACTCGCATCAGGATAGCACTTCATATTCCGAACACGGTTCGAATAGTTCGGCATCGTCGCGGGAGTCATCAACTTCGTTCAGTGTGCGCTCGCATCGGCGCAAGATTTCCATCAGTTCACATACTGGTGGTAAAATACCATGGTGCGGGTGCTGGGGCAACGGTTGCTTGTAGATTATGTTAGTAAATGGTGTGCGCATGCCAGTAAATCGGTTAATGTATAAATACGAATGACGAACTGGCTGTAGTAAATAATTTTAGTTAATAAAGTATAAATAATTAATTCTAATATATATTAGTGTTAGTGTCAACGCTTTACTTTTATTGTAAACTAGTAAATTAACTGTACTTTATTACGCTTTCAGTTAGTCAAAAAGCCCTTTGATTGTATGTATGTAGCTTACAAATATTAAAGAAAAAATTAAATGTATATTGAAATATAACTGGTTTTAAATGGTTTAGATTTAAATAGAAGAGAAACAGCTGCATAACGTTCATAGCTCAAACTGTGACTGCCAGAGACAGTTCTTTGTAAAGTTGGAAAACTCATGAAGTCTTCAGTTTAGGCATTTGATATCTATTCTGGTTGGTTTAGCTGGATGACGCTCGTAATCAGTTTGTGAAAAAGACAGCCAGGCAGAAGAATATTACCGGTTGCCAAAATTCAGACAATAGTAATCAATGTAGCGTTCGTAATGTCGAAGGCCGATTGATGAAGTTTTGCTATCACTTTCACTGACTTGTGACTTGGTTTCGGTCAAAGGTGTGCTCGCACGGGACCCACCTTGGACAGAACTTTCTCACACCCAAATATTCGTAAATGATACGATGTGCCTGTATCTCGAAAGACTTCACTTTTTGATCATTCAAAACTATTTTTGGACTTTTTTGGAGTTTTTGTCGATAATAGTTACTTTTCCCAGAAAGGAATGCAGTAATGTTATCGAAACTATAGGAATGTTGCGAACTATAGACGCCACAGAAATTCATCAGAAACAGCGAACAGAACATTTGTGACAGAAATTTCTATGACACTGCGGTCGCCGCGGAAATATGAAACAGTAGTGCCAACATTCGAGATAGAAATTGTGGATTGTGTGAAACTGCCACAGCCACATAGAACAATATATTCAATTAAAGTACTCCACGGCGTATACGTAACATTATTTGTAGTTGAAAGTAACATTTTATACTAGTTTATTTTAGGGCGAGCTTTATAGAAATTTTAAACAAATAAAGCCAAATGTGAACGATTATATAAGCTAAGCATTTTATTTCAAAAATTTAAAACCATACTTTCCTTCATATTTCCTCACTTTAGAGCAAAAAACATTCTCAACAATTGAGTGGCTCAAGGTACAGCAAACAGAAAGCGCAATTTCTAACTAAATTTAATGCCATTACTGCAATACTGCAAACCTATATTTAAAGTACAGCGCATAAAAAATAATATTTTTACCACTTCCCGCGAATGTATAATGAAAGCGAATGCATTCGACGAAATTTTTCAATGAGCAGTTGTTGTTTTGTTTATTCTGTATTATCTAAACATAAACACCAACATGTGCATCAATACATTCCGTTATATTTGCCCTTACGCTATATTACGCTATACATATGACTTCTGAAATAAAATACAATTGCATGTTTATTCTAAAATATTTAATGTTTATTACATTTGTCGACCACATTGAAATTGACGCATACAAACGCACAACATATTTAAGTTATATTTATTTGCTTATGTTTGCCATGCCTACGAGGGCTAGCTTCTGCTATGCATTGAGCGTTTATTTTGCAAGTTTGTTCTTAATTACTGTTGCAATAATCATTACTTATGGACATGTTTGTTTACTGTTATTTATTCGGTAAGCTAGCTATTGATTTCCATTTCATTTATATAAGTATATGAACATGCAAGTGCGCTTTCGTAACTATATATAATTTATTTGACAACTGTATAGTTCATTTATAATTTTATTTATATATTATATGTCATATCTGTATATAATTCCGTTTCTGCTCTTAAATACTATTAGTAGCTGCTCACATTGAAAAAAAAAAAAAATAACTTTAATGCTTGAAATAGTTGAGATTTGTTGGGCTGGCAGGCCTTTGTGAACGTTTTGTGGCTAATACTAGGTTTACTTACTTTAATTTATAAAATACTCATTTTCAATGGTATATTGCTTGGAAGTCATACATACTCCAAAATATTCATCAGTTTACATGCTCCACTGCGTATACGTAACAACAATGGTTGGTACAGGGAACAACATTTACTAAAGCCAGGAAAATACTTTAAGGTGTAAAACGCCATCCACATATATCAAATGCACACATAAACTGATTTCCAACCTAACATTTTCGTTCGTTGATCCTGAGTATTACGTAATTTTAATTTGTAAGCAAATGTCAAAGGTTGAGAGTCTTATTTAAGATATGTGATAAAGCGGCTTCCAAGTGCTTAACAAACTACCATAAAAGCTCTTTAATATCATTGACAATTTACAGTATTTGAATATTGAAGTTACGTGTATTAATTTTCAATAATTAAAAAATTTTAATTCGAAAAAGAAAGCAAGCCAGTATGTGTGTGAATTGCTGAATATACATACATTAGATATTAACAAACACATACACTGTTGTGCAAAAATAATTTGTAAAAGAAGCATTATGTAATTTAATTGAATGTTTTCAATCCATTTCTATGCCAACCAGCGTGCTTCGTGTGATAAATTGAGATAATGCAGTAAGTCATCAATATATTCTCTATTATTTATACTCAGCTGTGACTGAAGTACAATTTTTAAATATATTTTTATTTTATGCCTTTTGAAACTGAAAAATTATTGAATTAACGTGTCTGTCTTGTCATCTTTGGCACTCAAATTGACACATTGAGACTGGGAAACATATTGCTTTGTTATTTTTCATTTAATTAATTTTATTATTCCACTTGTTGAAGTCGATTACCGAATACTGCCTTTTAAGAAGTTTCAAGGCAACTAAAATATTTCGATGGTTAATAACATAGCTGTAGTGCTACATATGTAATTAAGTATGGTAACTCCACTGCGTATACGTAACCGAACTGGGGCAAAAATAAATGACATTACGACACCTAAACAACAATTTTAATGCCAAAAGATAGAGAGAAGAAGTTAGATGGGAGAAATAACGGAAAAAGTTTGAAGGCAGCTATTACTTTAGAGAGAGAGGCAGCTGGTTTTAATCAACGAGAGTGATGCACTTTAAGCTGGCATATTTTAAGCTTTGATCTAATATGACTTTAGTATTCCTAAGACTTAATTAGTAAATTCAATGAGCCACGAAAACAGGAAAAAAACAAGCATGGCTACCTAATGACTATATTGTGTTGGCTACTAAAGCAAAGAAACCGTGAATATATACAGTTCCGCATTGATGAAATTATTTAAGTCAGACTTCACTTCTAGACAAGGCTTCACGTGTTACTAAGAACTGACGTCTTCAAATGAAATGCAATTTTTTAAGACTGAAGACACAAGTAGTTAGAGAGGGAGAGAGGAAGCCCAAAAAGAATAGTAATAAGAAAATTAAAATAAAATTCCTGCTCGCTATAATTTATTTCATGTATTTTAATGTAATAACCTACATACATACAGTGTATTATATAACTAATCTAGCGACTTTATTTAATGGTCCAATAATATAGTTGGAAGCTCTGAAGTGTAATCGTTCGTTTTCGTTCGCATCAAGTTGGTAATAAATCTAAAATGTGACAGTGAAAGCTGCGAAGGAAGTACCAGCAAGGAAATCAGTTGTCGGCTAAGAGACATATCCTGCATGGTGGCGTCTTCTACAGTCCATTTGCTGAGAAAACTAACCGCAATTGCCGCAAACAAAAAGTATTTGCACAAAATATGGGCAAACGCGCACCCACATGCCCATATGTATGTATGTAATTTGCTGAAAGCGCGCACCATACACTAGGGTGGGCCTCAAACAAATTACATATATGTTTAGCTAACGTTGTTTTAGCTCTCGTTACAAATATGTGATAATTTTGTCAATAAATAATAAAAGTTAAGAATTCTGAACGAAAATTTATTTTCCTGCATTTAAGTACCACCCTTATGAACATGTATGCATACGCACATATGTAATAGACTAAGCATGCCATGGCATTATAAGAAGAAATGCGAATATTTTTGTCGCCGCTGTCGTGCTGGCAAATGTAACGGTCCGCAACGAAGTGCGCCATAAGTGCAAGAATGTCTCAGGCATGTATGTGTGCGTGTGAGTATGTATTTGTGACTGTGGTAGGTGCGCGAGACGGCGCAAGTGCTATTAAGGAAGTGCAGCAGAGAAGACTGTGGAGAATTTCACGTGTCATGCCAGCAATGCAATGGGAAATGCACTTGACATTAACGCACAAACGCGGCTATACTCACCAATACATATGTAATGACGTATGTATGCGTGTGCATATAACCACATATGAAATGCCTGCATATGGCAACAGTAATGCCATTATGTGCTCGTGAATAGGTGCAACTTTGCTTAGAATGCGCGCCGCGGTTGCCTTGGGGAATGTCATGAAATAATTATGTGGTCGAGCTATTAAATGGAGTTGCAAGCAATTGACGCTTATGCTTAAGATACTAACATTTCTCCTATCGTTATGTGACAATTTTATTGATTCAGCTATTAATTTTAAAAGTTTTTTGTGTCATATATTTTCAATAGCGGGTTAAATGGTTTCTTTTATAGCTGCAACTAACCATGTTTAATAGGACAATTAAAAAGTTTTCGGTCTACAATAGTAATAGAGATATTTTTAGAAAAATTTTCTTTGTTTTTTAGGCAACATTATACTCTTCAAGAGTGATACACCGATTAGAGCGATTGTAGTACGATTCGTCCTTTGCTTCAAAAGAGGTCCCAGTGTCGCCGACTACCTTTTCATTTCAAGAAAACTTTCTCCCAGCGAGTATTATTTGAACTCCGACAGACGGAAATAGTCCCTGGGGCCCAGATCTGGTAAATATGGTGTTGGTTGCGGAAGCAATTCGAAATCCAATTCGCCGATTTTTGCCATCATTTTCACTAACTTGTGACAGGCTGCATTGTCTTCTCAAAATAGCTCTTTCTTTTATTTAAATGTGGTCATGTGGATGGAATGCTTCGAACAACTTAAATTTTCGGTAAAGCAAAATTATTTTGTGGAGTTTTTTAATGTTTTTATCGGCAACAACATCTTTTGGGCGTTTACTGCGTTCACAGTATTCGGTGATTTTGGTGAATTGTCCAATTTTTTTTGCAACCACACAATTTTCAATATTCACTCAGAAGCTCTGAAGCACGCGGACATTCGTCTGATAATTTTTG